ACCCAGATATCTAATGGAGTACCCACTTCTAAAATCTTTGTGAAGAAATAGATTGGAATTTCCAGGAATGTCTATAGATGGAACATAACTTTCTAATGCTTCCAAATTCAGGTTCCCTAGGCCTCATAAGGTATAGCAATGGAAAAATAAGTTTGCTTTCCTGGAAATCTTTTTTGTGTAGTAAGGGAGATGTGAGAATTTTCATCAATAGTTTTTGTCTGAAAGGAATGATCTGATTTTTCTTCGAGGAATCTTTAAATATTTAAACCCGCACATATACACAAACATATTCATATGTCTGCGAAGGAGAAGGGTGACATGATTAACAGTGTGCAAGAACTTCTGAACTCTGCTGTTATTTTTTTCAAATAAACATGTATGGGAGTAGATGACTCATCCTGCAAAGTCCAGACTCATTGGTTTCAAACACTTCCACTGGAACTCCTTGTCTGGGCTTTGGGGTCTTGGCAATATTTATTTATTTCTGTATGAGTCAGAAGTTCTTAATAATGTTTCTGCTTAGTTGACTACAGAAAATAAAGCCCCAAAAACACTTGGAGAGTCAGATGTCAGGAAAAAGGAGAAAGACAGAAAGAAAGAAAAAAATAAAAGGACATGGATAGCAAGATGCCCAGACTTAACAGAGATGGAAAATTCACAGGTTTGGTTAGTCAGTAAGTTAACATACACCAACTCTCAGAATTGAAAAACTATTGAAAATTGTAACAAAAATTAATACATAAATAGAGGCAGAAACAATGCTTTCACTGAAGAGTAGAAAGGTAAAAACATTTGATAAGCTCACATTTCTGGCAAAAGTCAAGTAGCAAAGGAAGTATCAGCCAAAGATGAGAAAGCTCCTACCGAGTTTTGTAGATGTTTAAACAGATATCTAGTTAATAGCAAATGACAAACCACAGACCTTGAGACATCTAGTTCAGCCCTTTTTCCAGGGATGGACCAACTGTCCCTACAACACTCCTGGCCAGTGTTTGTCAACCTGTTCTAAAAGTACTTTGTTGATGGAAATCAAGGGATTTCATATAGGCTGTTCATTATTTCCCCCATTATTCTCCTCATATCCTACCACCAAAGGAATTTATTCCTTTCCTCTGTGCAATTACCTACAAAATTACTTGAGCACTATTTTCATCTCTCACCATCAGTCATCTCTACACTAAGGCACCTGAGTCTAAGGAACCTGAGTTCCTTCAGTCTTTTTCCACAAACTGTCATTTCTTGACACAGTGTCAATAACCATGAAGTCACCACTCAGGGGACAGAGGGACCTTGGAAGAAGAGTTCTAAGAGCACTGTGGGTTCTGGCTTCTATCTATTTGACAGCTTCAAAAAGTCCCATGAGCCTTTTTTTTTTTTTTTTTTTTTCCCTTGTTAACTCTCTTTTCTTTCCAAGAGAATCTCAAATTCCCTACAATATGTCCTAAGTAATACTGTTCAGTTCAAATGATGTCTGGAGTGTGAAAAATAGCATCAACATCAGGTTTATAGTAAGCTGAGAATAGGTAATGATTAGTTTAGGAGGTCTTTTGAGGAGAAATGTGACAGTGTATATCTGACTACTTTGTTAGGAGAAGAAGGGTCAGTTGGTAGTGCACCAAAGTATTGATGCTATTAGATAAGGAATTTTAAAAGGAAAATTTTACCTCATTATGTGAAGAGAATTCTGCTGCCAGGCCTCATAATATGTGTATAATTCCATTCTGCAAAAAGCTTCCTGGCTTCCAAGGATAAGATCCATAGTGAATAAGGTACAAAAGTGAAAAGCAAGATTGCTGCATGGTCTAATTATGATTAAGGTTGTAAAAATGGATTCTAGTCTTCAGAAAGAAGTTACAGCCAAGATGGAAGTTTTAGGTTACCAGGTAATTTAAAATACATGTTCACTTCCATCTGTACTATAGAGTGCTGGTCTGATTTTAAGGTGAATACACTATTTGTGTGCCTTAGTTTTCCATTTGTAATGACTCACCGTGAGTCATGAGTGGATGACTCAGAGATTGTGGACAGTACAGCTCCTATGGATTGAAATCCTGAGAGCCTGCCTGACAGGTACTGATATGGATTTTCCTGCAATGCACAGGACTCCAAATGACAAGCCATGCATGTGCAGTGCAGTTCATGCAGGTCTGCTATAATTTCCTTTTCTGCCTGAGACTGATTTCAGGATATCCATATTGTCATAACCTTTACACATCTGAAAAATGTAGTACTTCTTTTTCTGATTTTTTTCATCTGTGGTGTTCTTCAGGCAATTAGATGAACTACAGTTATAGTATTCACATTTTTCATGGAATATAATACAGTGTATTTTCTAGTACAACATAGATCATAGTAGTACAGCATAGAACTGTAGTTGTAAAAAAATAAAACTGACTTCATTTTCAATAAGCTTTGTGTCATTTTAATGTACAAACTGTGTCCTTTTAAATTACTGACTATTGCCATTACTTCTTGCCTTTAAATTTTGAGATTACCTCTGCCAACTCTGCAGTTCTGTAAGTATTTCAGATGTTGTGACTTAACTTTGGTATCTTTATCTACTGTAACACCCATAATCATCTAAATACCACTATACTTCCTTCCTAAAAGTTAAAAAAGTATAATTGAAAAATGAATGTTCTTCAAAGACACAATTACTTCTATTTGCTGAATAAGTTAAATGTCTAAGTGTCTACCATGTGGTTCACAGCTTTACAAAAGCAAAAAAAAAAAGCAGATTGTTGTTCATGTCCTCTCCCCGTTATCACATACAAGTGAGAATCTCTTCCTGAATATGCACTTGCCCCAGCTCAGAAGAAGAGCTTGGAAAATTCTTGTTTCCATCAGACTAAGCAAGTGCCTCCAGTTTATTCCAGTACTCCAAAATCTTATATCATTAATTGTCATTTACATTAAATACAAGATGAAACGAAAAACCATCCAAATATAAAAATACTAATTTTTGGAAACTAGATATAAAATTAAACATTGCATCATCCCAACTAGTTATTTCATTGCACTGATACACATCTATCCTTGGCTGTGGACTTATATATGAATGGTACTAAATAGGTAAGTAATTGGGCAAACATTTGTTAAATTTACCTGTTTGGGTCCTAAGCAATGCACAGCAATCTCCACTGTTAGCAATAAAGTGTGTGATCTCTTTCTATACCTACTGCTGGGTGATAGGTGCAATCCCCCATGTACAACCCACTCCTGCAAGTTGCAAAATGCTACTCCGTGGTTGTGATGTCCAGGCTTCCCAAAGGTCTGCAAGAAAGTGCATCATGCTTAATTATAAACTGCCATAACACAGAAATTCTAAGTAATTGAACTCTGGATATTACATTTGCAGCTGAAGCCATTTCCAAATATGAGATGGAACAAAAAACACAGGTGGCACTGGCCTCTAACTGCATTACAATTGGATTTAAGTAATTTCTTACAATGGGGCATTCTTGAACTTCCATTAGCTGTGTGAATGACCTCTAATCTGTATTGTAGAAAAAGCCTTCATACAGCAGCACTGCCATCTCCTGCTCGCTTGCTTCCATGCAGGCAAGCACGAGATCTGTGCTGCAAAGCAGCCACAGTGAAGGTGCAGTTTTCTGCTACTAGGTAAGTGAGGAAGTAGCATTTTCTAATACTCAGGGATAACACGTTTGGAGTTCTGCAGATGGGGAGAGTTTTCACAGGTGAATTTTTTTAAGCACAGAAAAGTACTTCAGCCATTTGTCCAGGATTTCTGATAAACCACATCCCAGCCAAACAATAGCTCAAAACGTGTACATTTGTGTACTTGTGCTGTACCCAAGAAATACATTCTACCTGTTGAATATACTTCCATAGAACTGATCTGTTCACAAACCAAAACATTTAAAAAGATCTAAAATATTCCCTGTAGTCTGCATAAATGCTGCAAGTCCAAAGCATGAATGACTCATGCATGGGATTAATTCAATGCAGTTGGGGTGTATTTGATCATATGCAAGCATTTGTGTGGTCCATATGCAGTAGGTCCAACAGGTCCCAGATGTACCACATACGCTCTGAACCATTAGGACACAGGTGAGATAGAGCCAGAACACAGAGTTATATTCACAGTCATATCAGAATACTGCTTTACTGCTTATCATAAACTGGGACAATTTATGCTTCTGAGAATATTTCTACACATTTACAATGCCTGGTGCATGCAGGGTCTCTTGCAGTCAGCCATGTGCCCACTGAACTCTCTCTGCTGTGCCAAGGGGTTATAGATATGGATCTTATAGATCAAACCTGCTCCTGCTTAGGGATTCGATTCTGGTACTGACATCACCTCAAACTTGACCAAGCACTGCTGCAGACTCAGCTTATTGCCACCAGTGATGCCACTTCAAACCAGCCATGTCTGTCCCACACATTGCTACACGCTGGGCTCAGAAATGCCAGAGGATGTGACACTTTTGCTTTTGCTTCTGCCTTGGAATACAGCTAGATAAGAGACTAGGACAGAGGTTTCTACCAGATTGTTCTTGAACCTGGAAAGCTTCCCAAACAAGAACCTACCGTGAATCATACAGGATGATAAAAATGCTCTTGGTTACTTGAATTCTTTTTTTTGGACAATCATATTCAATACACAGAGAACAGAAAATTGCATCCAAAACAACAAAATATGGAATGATTGGTAAGGAACATAATAGTGGATATAAACGATAGCTGCCTAAGACAGATTTTCCCTTCCCATAGAATCACAAAGTTTTATTATTCTCATTCTTCTCTCCTTTGGAGGCACATTTATTGTTAAGAACAAATTAAGAGCTATTGAAGACATTAGCAGGTAATGAAAAACGGTTCTGTTGCTTACTAGCCCAAACCTCCATCAGGGTAAAAAGAAGAAAGTCACATAAACCATTTAGTTGGTGAGATCTCAGTTCACACTCAGTTAATTGGCCTGTTTTGCAGGATTTAATCTGGCAGCATAAGAACCTTGAAATAAACCTCTTGGCTATGATTAGAGATGAAGGAGAGATTAGCACAGGCAGGAGAGTTGAAGCAGTTTTCTCCATTTCCATTGGTGAGTCAATGTGAAGACAGAGCAACTACAGAGACATCAGGAAATCATTCAGTCATCCTCAGGATGTCCAATTCAGGTATTTTCTCCCTTGTATTCAGCAAGTTACCAGTTTCAAGATCCTGTTCATTCCTCTGAAGCAGGTTAGTGGTTTCTTTTATAATGTCATAAATAGCAATGTATGTTTAGCTAATGTTTAGTTGAAATAGCAGATTTTAGCAAAATCAGTAAGATAAGATGTGGTTTGTTTATGACAAAATTGCAAAATTTCTTTGAACAATTCATATCTAATAAGTAAATATTATAAATAAATAACTGTGCTATGTCTTGTTCAATATAGTTCGGGGAATTTGATAGCAAAGGAACATCTAGGTGATATCTTGGAAGCAAATTGTACGGTGATGGAAGCTGTGTTAAAAGTTAGATAAATTTGAATTCGATAAGGAAAACTTGAGAACAGTATTGATAGTAAAGGAGAGATTTCCACATTTATTTGGCTTCTTTTGCTGAAAGAAGTATTTCTCCCTTTATAAGAATAAAATCAAATTTGCTCTCCCATAGCTGGGGAAGACGTGTCTGTGTGTATATGATTCATAACTCTGGAGTGGTTTACGTGCAAAGGTTTCTAAGAACTATGACAGAGGCGTTAGATCCACTGAAATGCTGGGAGCATTTGTAGCTTTACACTAATCTGCTACCAAGTATGACTTGGAGAAGAACAAACACACATTGCAGAGCAAGATTAACACTTTTAGCTCATAATTGCAGTTCCGCTCCTTCAGCTGGAAAAACTTTCTTCATCATGCTAAAAAATTATACTATGCAGCTGTTTGTGTGTTACAAGAGATCTTACGCTAATATATGTATTCAATACTTTATTAAACAGGGAAAGAATAATGTTAGGATGCACTTACAAAATTCTTTATGATGTGAAGAGAGTCTTATTATCTGAAATAAACTCAGTAAACTGTTAGCACAGGTGAAAAACTTAACATACTTATGTTATTATCCATGTAGTAGGCTAGGAACAAGGAACAGAATAAGTAACTTGCTCTTCTGTCCCAGACTTGAGGCAGTCAAGGTTTCATGACAAGCACAGTGTTTCCCAAAGATCAATCCCAAGCATATCAGTGATAGCCAGGGTCAGTCAACAAGTGGCCTTTGAACTACAACAACCAGTCATTCCATCCCTTTCCTCTGGCACTAAGACTCCATGAAATCACAGACCCTATGCTGCTGGTGTGTTAGATAAATGTCAGTGTTCCGTGAAATCTGATCCTACAAACAATACTAAAAATTGACAAAGGAAGCTAATAATACCTCATGAGAATTTCTGGAGACAAGGAATTATTAGAATTTTTCTTGCACAGAGACTTTTTAAACTTCAAGCATCTGAAAATGGGGGATGGATCTATATCAGAATAGCTCCATGAGAGTGAATGTATTATGGCTAGAATATGACGAAGTCTCAAATCTCTCTGGAGTAGATGAATTTTAAAAAGAGTAGAACTATTGACAACTTTTGTCCAAATGTTAAAACAAAATATATTTAGCAAGTAGGGTGTTTTCAGTGACACCATAACTAAATGTGTGCTGAACAATTCCAAGGCATTGTTCAAATACATATATGTGTTTCACAGAAACAAACAGTGATATACTATTCAACAATTCATATGTGCTGGCTATTCAACATGAACTGTGTATCAGGAATGAGCAAATTTCACATCAGATTCTCTCTGTTGTGAGCTCTGAGGCCTGAGTATTGGGCAAATAAACCTGTTAGCAGCCATCATTTACAGCTATTTAAGGTCAAGTCACGAACTGCTTAACTGGTGAAGCAATCAGAGATACTGTCTCCAGGCTTAACAGGCTTATTCAGGCTGTCAGCTGAATTTGTAGGGAGGCTTAATTCTGTACCAGCAGAGCGTGATTCCTTCAAATGAGGTCTGAACAATACTGGAGAAGAATGGTGTGAAGCAAGTGTTATAATTTTATGACTATTCTCTGGACATCTCTGTAAGGTGATTATACTATACTACTGTAACAATACAATCACAATCAATATTCAGCCATGACTGATAATCATACTTAACAATCATTAAAATTAGGGCCGTGTTTTTAAACTCAGAAAGCTTCTGGCCTCAACACCTTTCGAAATAGACTGGTAAGGAAAAATACTGTGCATCTAGCATACTATTCTGTGTATTGCACAAAAGATACACAGAGCTCAATAGCTTTGAGGGGAATTAGTTTTCTCTGTAAATGCAGGAGAAAATAAATCCAACTTGAATTCATTAGATCTCACAGGCCTTAAAATCTTAATGTATGAAGATATTTATCCATACCCTAATATGAATCACACAACCTATTCCTTGCCTGTACAAATAGAACTGATTATTTCCAATGTAAACACATGAAGACACTGGCATTCCATTACCTTTTTAAACTGCACTCTGCAACGATCTGCTTACTCAATGCTAAGCTTCACTGCAGCTGGGGATCCTTCAGTGTAGCCCTACTTCTCTCCAGCTTGTCTATCTGCAGGTGTTTATCATGTTGTTTTAGCTGATACAAGTTTTATTCAGTAATAGCATGCACTAACTTAGAAAATATTATGCTGCTTATACATCTCTATTTCCCCAGATTTATAGGATTACATTTTACTTTTTATAAATATCATTGTATTAGTGTAAATAAATGACTGTATAATTATGTAATGCAGAATTTTACAGTATAAAATCACTCTAATGAGAGTTGCCAAATTAGGAACAACACAAGCAAGTTTTCTGGAAAGAAAAAAAGGCTGTATGTATGTTTGTTTGTCTTGTTTATTCAACTTTTGAACACAAACCTGACCATAACACAGGAATCAAATACCTATAATTGTTAAACAAAAAAAAAAAAATGCAACAAGTAGAAGGGAAAGACACTGGGAGTCTTCTGAATGGAAAGATACAGACCATCAGATCCACACAGAAAATTGGTCTTGACAAAAATTCATAGGAATCCAGAGTCTCTGTTCTTACTATTCACTTGTTTTTAATTGCTCTAATTGGTCCTTAGAATTTTTTTTTTTTTGATTCACACTGTTATGAAACTTAAGCAATAAGTTTCACTAGGGCACTCCCTTGGCAGGACTCGGAGTGCATGAGGCTGTACAGGAAGTTCTCTTGTAGGCTCTATAAATACCTGGTCAAAGAGACAGTAATCTCTCTCCCTCTTCTTCAGATTTCTACTGCATGCCTTGGATCCATGCTCCTAATCAGCTTACAAGCTTCCCTTGACCTACGCTTCCTTTCCTAATGCACGTCTGACTATGGCTGTCCTCAAAGTCAAATTCACCAAAACCAAGAGGGACAAGCTGGCTCAGATCTTATGGATCCTCAACTGGGTTTCTGTAGTGAGTGGGATCATTCTCTTCAGTCTTGGCCTCTTTCTGAAAATAGAGATCAAGAAGCGCAATGAAGTGATGGCAAAAGGGGACATTAACTCTGTCCCCAACATGCTGATCTCTGTAGGGGTCATAGCATGTATCATCAATTTTCTGGGTGGCAAAATCTGCTATGACTGCTCAGATGCAAACAAGTTCTCCCGATGGAAACTAGTAATGCTGCCATACATCGTATGTACCTTTTGTTTTACCTTCTGCATCCTGGTGGGTGCTCTCATGTGCTACACCATGAGGAACGAGCTGGAAGAGTCTCTCTATCTGGGACTGAGGGATGCTATTAAGTTCTATAAAGACACAGACATACCTGGGCGGTGTTTCTTAAAGAAAACAGTGGATTTGTTACAAATTGGATTCCGTTGCTGTGGAAACAATGGCTTTAGAGACTGGTTTGAAATTCAATGGGTATCTCCTCGTTATCTGAATATGGCTTCCAAGGAGGTTTTGGAGTAAGTATTTATCAGTTACAACAAAAAAATCTAGGAGAAAAACTCTTTTGAAACTGAAAAGCCCTTTTTTCTTGACCTTTGTATCTTAATTCAAAAAATTAAGAATGACGAGGTTACTCACAAAATATGCTAAATATATGCACAGTCAAAAGTTGCCTTTCTCTAAGCCTTTAGGGATGCTCAGCAAAGCAAAGATGTATCTCCTTTTTCAGTGTGGTGAATTAGCTACCTCAAAATTTTTATTTCATTTATAGTGAGCTGATAACAGTAAGAAAAGAAGGATCGTACTATAAGTACATTGCACAGTCAGCTCTAAGCACTGAAAGACCCTTCTTCAAGGTATCAGACTTTGCAATCCCCAAGTTCAAATCTGTATGTTCACATCTGAGAAACTGCCAAACCACATACACTGCATAAAAAAGCAGAAATCCCCCCTTTCTTTTTGGTGGTGGCGTTTCACATGATGTACCGACTGTGAAAGTATATGCTCAAAAAGAAGAGTGGTAATACAGACAAGGTAAAAATTTAAAACTTTCAAAAGTAGACAATCCAGACTGTAATGATTCTTCTAAAGCTGAAAAAGGCCTTCACTGACAAGAGAGTAGTAGTTTTGTATTCCCAGGAAAGATAAATGCAAAGAGCTTGCATTTTGTTGAACTCAAAAATCAGTGACAAAGCCAGAGGAAGGGAGGCCAAAGGTCTTAATTTCACAGAATTCGCAATTTGAAACTGCCATCATAGCAAAGCTATCTAGAGAGCTGCAAATATACCAGAGGGCAGGACCTAGGAGAATACAAACAAGAGGGCATCAGCATACAGAAGACACTTGTCTGTGGAAATGAAGCAATACAAGCATTCTCAAGAGCAAAGTTATAAAGTGTCACACAGAACAGACTGAACCAGAGCTGTTTAAATTCTCATTTCTGTGCTGAAAAGTGACATGGCAACCAAGACAGTGCTCAGGAATTTAAGAGCAGTAGCTTAGTGTGAGGTCAAAAGTAAAATATATTGTCTTTTATTTCCGTGAGAGGCAGAAACAGTAATGTTTTACCCAGGGTCTTAATTAAGCTGTGTTTTCTTCTGCTCACCCTGTGCTCTGCCATTGTTTTGAGAACACACTGCCAGTTAGCTTTCGCCCCATTTAGACAGAAGGGGACAGTGAAATGTGTGTGAGGAAAGTAATTTCTGAATTTCTTCTGCTGTGGATAGATGGCTTAATTTCATCTTGATTGGCAGAATCCAAGTTGGTGCTGCATAACAAAATTTTACCATGACTTCCAAAAATCTGTTAATAAAAGATTTGATATGAAATCATTGGAAGTAAAGCCCAGCCGGTAATGTTCTGAAAGGATGGAGAAGGAATCAATCTTTCTTGATTTGAACTTGTACTCTGTATCAGTTAGTAGTTTGTAGATCAAGAGGCAAAGAGGTGAGATCTGACATACTGTGAATTCACATGTAACCTTCTCAAAACTGAACTTTTCACACTCCTAAAACCCTCTTCCCTCCCCCCTCTTCTACAGCTCTATTGCCAACACCACAATTTGAGAAGGCATGGAAACAGTCAGTGGGGATTGGCAGGAACATGAGGCAGGTTACAGCAGTACAATGCTAGCACTGCTTTGGTTGGCTAAAAATCATCTTTGCTCAAAAGCCAATTTTTGCTTTACAATACTATAACTTTGAATTGCAACAGCAAATAGCAGTGAATTTCTTGCTCCACCAACTCTTTTACTGAGGTCTTCCTTTCTAACAGTACCAAGATACTATTAAGTACCAAGATACAGTTAAATAATTATTAAATTTGCCACCCTCAGAGGAAACACAGTGGCAGGAAGATATAACCCAAGTCTGGAAACTACTACTGTTGGCAGTAGAAAGAGTATTCCTCTTTATAACACATCTGGAACAGAAGAGAGTATTTAAATTGATGCTTGGGATCAAAAGAAAAGCTTAAGACCCAGTTTAAGAGATGGAGTACTATACTGGGGGCATCAAATATTTATAATACCCTGAAACATAGAGGACATTTTGCCAGCCCAGGTAAAATCTTTCCTTTCACAATGTGCCAATCTTCCCCTCTGCAAGCTTTCTTTTCTCCTTCCACATTGGAGCCCTCTGGTTTGTGCCTCTCTGGCTCCTTTCCCTTCCAGTGCGTAATTCTGCCTATGCCCACAATATGGCTCACACACTTCAGTCTACTTTCAGTGGATTATTTGGACTCTCTTACATTGATTCAATTCTGCTGCCATCACCAGGGATATGATGGCCACAAAATAAAAAGCTAGGCTTGAAAATGGAGAAAAATTCATGCATATCCCAGTCCTAAGTGGGAAATGCAGATGAACTTCCTGGTTTACCTGGAAAGATCTTGGAGTAAAAATGTTTTTGAGAGAATTTTAAGTAAAACAAAACACACCAGAACCCAAATAAAATAGAGAGGAAGAAAAGGACAAGAAACAAAAAAAGGGGGTTGTGTTTAGTAGGCTCACAGCAATAAAATAAAAGCAATTATTCTGCAATCAAAGAACTGCCACAAATACTAAGCTTCCTAGCAGCTTATGTTTCACTGGAAGGTTACATTTAGTCCAAAATTCCAGATCAAGACTGGACCACAGTGTTTCTGCTCCTTCTGTTTACCTGATGAGCTTCTTGTAACGATTTCCTTCCCTCTCATTTAGATCAGCTGTAGTGGAACAGAAAAATATTACTTGCAAACCTAGTTAATAAGTTTTGGAAAGTATTAGCAAATTTACTATTGGCAAATAGTGAAAGCTGGGTATCTAAGCGAAAGTTGTCTTTCATGTTTTCTGGCCCCCTTTACAGAGGAGAGGCCTGGACTTGATAAACCAGGGCATGGTTCTCACCCATGGGGCTGTCTCAGGAAATCAGCCTTTTCCACTGAGCATGAAAATAGGTACATTCTTAGAAGCTGCTTCCCCAAGGTGTGAGAGTGTCTCTCAGCATCTTAGATACCATCCAGTTTCTGGAAAATCTCTTTCTCTGAAGAAAATGCATGCCAAGGATTCATTTAACCTCTAGGACATCTTGGTTAATTTGAGACTGTGTTCTCTTCCCATCCTATGATTTTTTTTCCTATACCTCTTTATCTTTCCTCTTTCACTACTTGTTTTCCTCCTGATCTTATAAAGGAGGGAAAGGAATAACTTTTAGCAATACAAATTTCCTAAACTTACAGAAAGTGAAGCTACAAGAACTAGAAACTCCTTTGTGAATTAGTCTCAAAATACGTGCTGGACGAGCCCTTGCAATGGGTACAGTGACAAAAGTCCAGTGGATGATTTCCAGTGGCTCCTGTGGCATACAAAGTTGTTCTTGTATTAGGATCTCTCTCTCATGGAATGATTGTGTAGAAAAATCAGTCCAGAAGTAGTGAAACACAGAATTTCCAGGGATAATTTCCATTCAAATTCCACTGAGATAAACAAGTTCAAAAATTATTTTTAGTATTCAGCACAAAGATACCTAAAAAAGGCAACATCTCCCCAGACACTGAACTCACGTCTTGTGGCACAGAATGAAGAACCACATGATGTACTGTGCTACACCACACTTAATTACAGCAAATCCAATATTCAGCTTTCTGGCAGTAAACAACTTTTCCAGGTGGAAGTATATCCTCATTTTTCTTTTGTTATATTGGAGAAGCCTACATTGCAGCAGAGTTATGTTACTTCCTTTTCTAAAGTCACAGGCACTGCCTGCTGCTGACACCAGGTTTGTAATGCCCAGACTTTGTCCTCTTGCAGCCGTCTGAAGAGCAACGTTGATGGGAAGTTCTTGGTGGATGGAGTCCCCTTCAGTTGCTGCAACCCCAGCTCCCCACGGCCCTGCATCCAGTACCAGCTGACAAACAACAGTGCTCACTACAACTACGATTTCCTGACAGAGGAGCTCAATATCTGGATGAAGGGGTGCAGAGAGGCCCTGCTGGATTACTACACCAGTATCATGAGATCCATTGGCATTGCAGCATTACTTATTTGGTTGTTCGAGGTAAGTCTCATAAAAATGGTCTCTATCAGATTAATCAGTCTTCTGTCTCTCTAGGACGGGAAACGATGATGGTGTAACACATGAGAAGTGCCTCAGCATCCAGTGTAAAGTCAACAAGCACTTCAGGAATGTTGCAGGGTTTTCTTTACTAAAGACAACTTTCCCAAAGTCCACAGAGCAGAAAGAAATCTTGTTGAGGATGAGAACTATGAGAAACATGTATATAATTCTGTATATATATAGAACTTTTTCAACAGAATATAGCATATTCCCTTCCCTGATGCATTTATGGGATCAGATACAGGATGATGCATGCAGTGGTAGAACTGCAAGGAAATTTGGTGACAAGGTCTGGATGTTGTTTTAAGTCAGTTTTAATATAAAAAATATGAGTAGGTCTTTTTATATTGTTTAGTTTCACCATATAGATAGTTCTTGCAGTCATGGCATATCATCCCTTTAGAAGTAGATTGTGCTGCTAGTTATGCAATCAAAATAAACACATCAAAGGCAAGGTACACACCTGCAAAGCTGCAGTGTTCCTGCTGACATCTGTAAAGAGGAATTCTCTCGATGTTGTCATCTGCAAGTAAATGACCCCCCCACCAATGGCACAGGCTCCAAAACAGTTTTCTTACCTTTTTAGTATGCTTTAGCTTTCTGATTATCACATAAGTATTAGCATTGTAATTAGAGTAGTTCACAACAGTCCTCAGGCAGTGGTAGGTGGGGTCATGGTGCCAGAAATAACAGGCCTCTGAAGCATGTGAAAAGCTGTGAGCCAGCTCTCTGTGCTCCCTTAAATACTGACAAGCTGATCTTGATTACAACAGAACTATGAAAGTGGGGCTTCTTCCTAAACTTAGACTTGAGCCTCTGTTATAGGCCATCCTTCTTAATTTTCATGCCTTGGCACATAGAGGACACATATGGCTTACACAGGAATGATTAAACCTCCTTGGAAGAAATATTGATTTAATCAATGTCACTGAGAAAATCCACTGAAATTAACACACTACAATTTTTTCTTTCCCTGTGACTGATGGTTCCATTAATTGATCATCCATTCTACATCAATTAGTTGCAATCTCTGAGGCTAGAAGGTTCATGGCTAATTCTAGGTACTAATAGCATGCAAGGGTGATTGTTACCTGAAGAATGAACAGAGAATCAATCCTTCTCTCCTTGCTTTCTTAAAAAATGCAATTTATTGGAAAAGTGGTTAGGTATATTGCTAGGATAAAGAGTCTGTCTGCTTTACTCAGTTATGAAGCCTGTAAATACACAAGTCAGAAATCAGTGATAGTACTGAGGCTGCAATTTCAACTGTTTAACCATTAACTGTTTGTTACAGCTCTCTGTACTGATTGGTGTCCGGTACCTACAAACAGCCATGAAGAATGTCCTTCTGCTAGGAGATCTGGAGGGTGAATCAGATGGTTGGTTACTAGAAAATAGCTTTGTGGAAACTGCCAAATACAACATCAACATCATTAAGAACCTCGGTAAAGCCAATCAGATCTCCACTGTCTCAGGCATGAACGACCCCAATATTAACGTTCCAAACACAGACTGTGACAAAACTAATATTACAACAAAATCTATCCCTGCAGCTAGGTAGGCAAATCTTCCAAGAAATGACATCACAAGTCTAGCTTTGCTCTATTACAGTCCTACAGTCACCAGATTTTATCTGGTGGGGAAAAAAAAAAGGTAGAAAAACTAGTAAAACAATTGAACAAACCACAGACTGGTGAGAGCTCCAAAAATGCTGATACTTCCTTGGATGGATGTGTTTTTACCTGTGAAATCCCTGATTCTCAACACTGCACAAAACTTCTGGAATGTCCCCCACTTTCTCTCCTTTACTTACAGACTTCTATCATGGTCTGAAAGCATCAGAATTATCATTAAGCATAAGCAAATATTTCAGACAGGATGGGTCTACATGTACTAACATACAGATTAGTTGAATAGGTACCAGAGAAGTTTGTCATTACACCTATAAAAATCCCAGGAGTAGGGAAATCCCAAAAGAAATTATTACGCTGGGTAAAAAGATTATTTACAAAAAAGACAAAAACTGAAATGAAGATTCTGTTGGTGCAGGTTAGGAAAGCGGAAATTTTAAAAACATGCATATATTACAGCCTACAACAACCCACCAGGTATGTGAAATTCAGGTGAAGGCAATGAAAGTTACCACGAAAGTATTTCACTTTGTTTTTCCCAAAATGTCTGCAGTATCTATACCCTCCAATAGCTTAGAGAAAGTATCTTTTCATTTTCCCCCCTCCAATTGCCCCACTTCCCTCAAAGGGTACAGCTGAAAGGAGTTCTCTGATTAATAACTGCCAGCTCGTGCAGGGATATTTAAACTTCTAACTAGCATGTGATAGCACAAGTTTAAAAACAAGTAGATACTTCCTGTGAAACAAACACTGATGATCCTAGATGCTTGAAAGCTCCTCGTTTCATAAGTACTTACCACCCTGATCCAGGGGTGAGAAAATCACACATTTTTGAAATCAATGAAGGCAGACACACTGACAGCTCACACATCACACCCCTGGTACAATGCTCAGGAGCTTTGCTGATGCATGGAGTGAAAGCCTTCAATGCCCAAACCACCTGTAGTTACAGGGTGCCCTATGACTATAACTGATCATTAATAGTCAGCAGAAAAAAAGTACCAATACAAACAGAGGTGGAAAGACCAAATAAAATATTTTACTTGCTACTGTTGTGAGTGCATTCTTGTGGATAATCAAGTAAAAGAAATTTTATCACTGAAATATTTAAAATAGAACCATTCCTGCTTTTGAAACTGTGCAGAGTAACAGTAAAAATTTCTTTACCTAAATACTGTTGTTTTCCATAACACTAGAAAAGGCAAAAATTATACTATAAGGATGTATCGTAAGTAAATGTAAATAAACCATAGTGTAATTCAAGCAGGCTATGTGCATGACCGTAACTTCAACTGGAATTCCTTCAATGCCTAACATGTTAAGCCTACACTTAGCTACATATTAAAACCCCTTCAAAGAGCTAGATTTCTAAGCTGAGACTTCCTTCCACAAGAATTGTTAATTCTTCCCTTTGCACTGCACTTACCTGTATGCCTGCTTCTTGTCTTCATTGTAATCACTTTGCCCAGTGGGGGCTTAAAACTTAACTGGTGTGTAATTCCTTCAGCCATTTCTGAGAGCCCAAAGTACTTACCAGCAGCTCTACAATTAGGTGATACAGGCTGGAAAAGAATGAATACAGAAAGTTGCAGTTCCTTGAGAGATCAAGGAGAAAGACAGTCATGTATTGCAAACTAATCAGATTTTGCATATGTTTTTTCTTTAAACTCAGTGTATTTTTTTGCAGATGAGTATGCCAAGTGTCACCTGTGTCAGTCAATAGCAGTCACTTCCTCAACATGATTTCATTTCACTTTTCGTAAAACAGTCCTAGACCTCAATAACTAAAGCTTGCAGAATTACAAGAACAGTGAGCTTGCTCTTTTGATAGCTTTCTAGTTGCATGGATCTGTCAAGAATCTGCTCTGAAAAAACAGATTTGGAAAGAAGAGTGAACTGATCATCCAGCCTCCGCATCTCTATCAAGACAAAGAAATGTCATCCAGAAGTTGCTGTAACCCATTACCACAAAGAGCAGAGGTTTAAGTATCCAGATGTATCCAGATATACAATTTTCTCCTGCCTCCACACAGCTCATTAGCTTTCATATGAAGAAAACACATTTTACCATAGAAGATTAATTAGCATTTACCACTTTAACCTTTGTCTCTCAGCCAGCTGCACCAAACTGCAGCAGTGGAATGTGATTGGTTTCGATATTAACTTAGTTTCAGCAAACATCTCACAGGGAACAGTCCTTGTCTGACCTATTACCAGTAATTACTTAGTCATTACACTGTTAATTTCTATCCCGTCTAGGCATTCAGAGTCCCCACTGATACAGATGCATCACAAAAAGACAATAGCTCATTTCACAGTATCAGGATAAAAATTACTTTCATTAATAAATGCTTTCTTCTTTGCTTTGTATTTATTGATTTCCTCAGAACATGGAAGTGCTACACCCTACATATCCAGTTTCCTTTACAGCACCTGTAAACACAGTAGTTTGGGTTTCCTGCAGTATTTAACACCAGAGGCACTGGATCAAGGAAACAAAGTCAGGTAGCAGCAAAGACTCCATCTTTAATTCTCAGTAATTTATAAAGACAGAGATGGCATTAGCAAGCCAAGCCTTTAAGCCGGGGCATCTGCTCAGATACAGAAATAAATACGATCTGGGGGACACTTCTTACCCTATTTGTTACTAATGCCTAATCCAGCCAGAATTTATAACAATACAGCAAATTCCAGAGTAAGGAACTCACCTATCTTCTTCATCAAGTTCTTAATTTAAAAAATAAAACACTATTGTTGAGTTCCTCGTGAAGGCACTATGAGAGGCACTTTTATTTAGAAATTGCATGTACAATGCTCTTCCTTTAAAGCTTTCTGAATGCCACTGAAAATACTTGCTCTATGTTGATCACAGAGAAAAAATAGTAAGAAATATAAGCATGCAGCACATTTAGGATTTTGTTAAAACGAATATAGTTCAAGCAGGAGCTCTGGTACCTTGGGATGAGTATCTCAATACTTGTACCCAAAGAGGCCAATATTTCACTCCAGGCACAATTAAGGAGGAGATGTGAGGTTCTGCAGTCTGCTGAAAAAGACTAACCACACATCTTCACAAATATAGCAAGGACTTCAAATGATCATGAACTCCACAGCCCCCACTTTGTGCTTCACAACATTTTGCTGCAGCTCATTCACTCAAGCATGAAGCCTGGAAACCTCTTAAATCTGATGGACTGTAAGTTGTTTGACAACCTGTACTTATACAGCACAAACTATACTCCTTTTATTGACACTGATCTCATGAACAATAGTCAGACAGCAATAAGAAAAGTCAGATCCCATTTTAATGTCTCATGTTGAACTCTCTACCGAGTCTCTTACTCACCATTAGACAAAATCATGTATATATCACCTCTTGGAATTTCAGCTTGCTCTCCATCAATGCAAATTTCCTTTATATAACTTCACTTTCATGTATGATTTCGACTGTACTGAATGCAACTTCAGAGAAATGTAGCTTGGATTAGAAATAACTAGATTTGAGACATGTGTAAGGAAGCAGATTTTCATTATTAGCCATTTTTTTCCTGTATCAACCTTCCAATTTAGTCTACCTGCAAAATACTGATAGAAACAAAGAGATAAGACTGCACCACAGAAATGAAACAACTTCTATTTTTGATAAAATATCTTTCAACACTTTGTCAAGCAATAGGTTAGAAGAATCTAAGTAACAACTTAAATGTTGTATTATGAATCTGCCTAGTTTACACTGGAGATTATTCAAGGCTGTTGTCTAGAAAATAAAGTGGATTTCAACCATAATGCAAAGCATATAATAGCAAAAATACTCCTCTATGTATCTTTGTACATTAAGATTTTTATTACACAAGAATTAGTGCTGGGGCTTCTTTTTTTTTCCCCCTTAATTAACAGAATTCTTGTTCTAATTTTCTTCACAACATTTTTGCTAGCAGACTTCACTCTACCTCCACCTTTTACCTTTTCAGGAATTAGTTTTTAAAAACCGTTTACTAAGAAGAAGCATAAAGAGGAACATCATTAACACCCAAATGGTGCCCAAAGCTTCAACAAAGCAGTGAGGACATGATGACACCTATAACATAAAAAAGAGCAAGAAGTACTGGCCATATCTATGTAAAAGATGTCTTGACTGTTTGCTTAGGTCTATAATAAACCACTTTTTTAAAAGTATGTATCACACAGCACATTAGACCAACACCACAAACACCCTTTCTAGATGTTAAGTATCTGCCGAACAGTACAGCCCGTTCTTTGAGAAGATACAAAACCAGAAATACACTCAACTAGGTCAGTTTCAGGGCATGTAAATATTAAATTCTGTACTTAAGATTTCTTTTAGAAATTTAGGTAGACGCTGAAGAAATCTGAATCTGTAAAATACTAGGATAAGTTTCAAGTGGCATGTATCTACATAAGAAAAAGTATTCCTTACAGGATGACCATGATACAGCCTACACAGATAACTGATAATTTACCAACCATTTACCAGCTCTTCTCCTTTCCCATGCTGACAGACACCACTATGAGACTCTTATGAAATGAAATGCGAGGTGCCAAAGTGCCTTCAAATAAAAACTGAATAATCTACGAGAAGTTACTTTATTTCCTTTTTTTTTAAATATACATATACAAGATATTTTATTTCAAAAGCACAAGAACATTATACAAGTTTCAAATTTACATTTTTGCAATTTAAGATACCAGTATGTGCATTATCAAATAACTTCTGTCAGCTTGGATGAAACAGAAATAAGTGGCATAAGCATCTTGCGGTCACTAAATACAGATTATACTCACAGTGAACAAAACTGCATAGTAATTTATGAAATGAAAGATGACCACGCTAATCAGTGAATGATATGGGAGCCATTTGCAAAATTAGTATGTGCAAACATACAGAAAGATGCAACTTTCCTCTCCCACT